ATGTGTACATTATTTGACACTGACACGTAACGTTACGTGCCAGCTTCAGGTGATGCATTCAGCTTCAAACGGATCCCGAACGAGACGAAAACACAGGAATATTAGCAATGCTAAAATGCACATCAACATATCACTTGTTTAGCGTTCATGTACGTCAGGAAAAAAAAAAACATCTTGTCGATTTATTTTGATTAATATGTGCGAGCCTGCGAGGGAGAGAGAGCAATACAGCGCTTAGTTTTGAGACCTTTTGAGCCTTTCGCTTGCTTGGCTCCGAAGAGAGAGAGAGAGAGAGAGTGCGCGCGCGCGACCGGGGCTCGCTCTCTCGCTCTCTCTCTGCTCGTTCAGGTAAACATGCGCCCTGTCACAAGCGCAGCAGTTCATCTACATTTCTCTTCTCCCTTGATTTCTGCGATTTGTTGCAGACAATAAACACACTTGCAGACGGCATCTTGGAAGTTTGTGATCCGCGGGACTGTGTTTATTCCTCTTGCTTTGTGACGGACACCTGTCCTTTTAATATTGTAACCCAACCACGACGATATCGAGACACGTTTACCACCGCGATAGCGCGATATCGTCAATATCGTTACATCCCTAGTGGATATAGGGGTGATATAGAGATGGATATAGGGGTGGATATAGGGTTGATATAGAGATGGATATAGGGGTGGATATAGGGATGATATGGAGATGGATATAGAGATGGATATAGGGATGATATAGAGATGGATATAGGGGTGGATATAGGGATGATATAGAGATGGATATAGGGGTGGATATAGGGGTGGATATAGGGGTGATATAGAGATGGATATAGGGGTGGATATAGGGATGATATAGAGATGGATATAGGGGTGGATATAGGGATGATATAGAGATGGATATAGGGGTGGATATAGGGATGATATAGAGATGGATATAGGGGTGGATATAGGGATGATATAGAGATGGATATAGGGATGATATAGAGGTGGATATAGGGATGATATAGAGATGGATATAGGGGTGGATATAGGGGTGGATATAGGGATGATATAGAGATGGATATGGGGTGGATATAGGGATGATATGGAGATGGATATAGGGGTGATATAGAGATAGATATGGGGGTGGATATAGGGGTGGATATAGGGGTGATATAGAGATGGATATAGGGGTGGATATAGGGGTGATATAGAGATGGATATAGGGGTGGATATAGGGTTGATATAGAGATGGATATAGGGGTGGATATAGGGATGATATGGAGATGGATATAGGGGTGGATATAGGGGTGGATATAGGGATGATATAGAGATGGATATAGGGGTGATATAGAGATGGATATAGGGATGATGTAGAGATGGATATGGGGTGGATATAGGGATGATATAGGGGTGGATATAGGGGTGATATAGAGATGGATATAGGGGTGGATATAGGGGTGATATAGAGATGGTTATGGGGTGGATATAGGGATGGATATAGGGGTGATATAGAGATGGATATAGGGGTGATATAGAGATGGATATAGGGGTGATATAGAGATGGATATAGGGGTGATATAGAGATGGATATAGGGGTGGATATAGGGGTGATATAGAGATGGATATAGGGGTGGATATAGGGGTGATATAGAGGTGGATATAGGGGTGATATAGAGATGGATATAGGGGTGATATAGGGGTGGATATAGGGGTGATATAGAGATGGATATAGGGATGATATAGAGATGGATATAGGGGTGGATATAGGGGTGATATAGAGATGGATATAGGGGTGGATATAGGGGTGATATAGGGGTGGATGAATTGAAGAGATTGATAGTTACATTTTGCTGTTGTAATATAATATCACTATGTGTGGTTTAATTGGGGCATATTAATCATTTTATTTTAAATGAATTTATTTCTGATAAAAACATGCATAAATACTGTAATAATAAATCTCACCAAGAGGCTGAAAAATCTGAAGATAATTGTGTGCGTTTACTGTTTCAGTAGTTCCTGATGAATGAACCGAGGCTGAATTCATTTAAATCATGAATAAAGTCATGAGAGATTCATTCATGTTAAATAATGTAGCGGCTGATGAATGACTCTCATAACTGTGTGTGTGTGTGTGTCCCTCAGCTCCAGACGCTGATTCAGGAGACGGACCCCGGGGCCGACTATCGCATCGACCGGGCCCTGAACGAGGCCTGCGAGTCCGTCATCCAGACCGCCTGCAAACACATCCGAAACGGAGACCCCATGTGAGTGTGTTTGAGATGACAAGCTCATCCGAGGTCAAACGAGTCACATACTCATCCTTTATGCTACAAACGTGGAACAAATGAGTGCTTTTATTAATATTAGGGACGTTTGGCATATTTGTGTTTCTGTAGCAAGACCTGTTCTATTGCCTCAGGCACTGAAGAAGTCGTTGTTTTAAATCTGAGCGAACCGGTTTTACCATAAACTTTCCAGAATGTTGGTTGATCTTTACATTTGACCTTGTTTCTGTGCGTTTGTTCATATTTAAGTGTGCAGAAATAGAAACATTAAAGGTGAAGTGTGTAGTCCAGCCTGAACAGGGGTATTTTGTCAAGTGTGTGTGTGTGTAGGATCCTGTCGTGTCTGATGGAGCATCTCTACACTGATAAGATGGTGGAAGACTGTGAACACAGACTGCTGGAGCTGCAGTACTTCATCTCCAGAGACTGGAAGTGAGTCACAAAACGGAGTGTGTGGTTTTTTTTTGGGGGGGGGGGGGGGGGGGTTTAAACTAAATTCCACAATTTTAATTGAACAAAATCCAGTGACCAAAACTTAATTTAACTTTCACATACACTTCAAGTACTTCCGTATTTGTCTTTTTCACCATGCTTCAGGAAGAATTCAGTAATGTTACTTTCAGGTTAATTTTATGTCAGAACATTGTCAAAAACATGAGATTTGTTCCTGTCAACAAACAACTTTGAGAGTTCCTGTCATATACCTGAACACGTGTTTGCTGCGGTTCTGTTGACAGACTGGACCCCATCCTGTACAAGAAGTGTCAGAACGACGCGGCCCGCATCTGTCACACTCACGGCTGGAACGAGACGAGCGAGTTCATGCCTCCCGGAGCCATCTTCTCCTGTCTGTACCGGCACGCGTACCGCACCGAGATGCAGGGGCGACGGGTACGAGTAACACACACACTACTGTATCAGACTATAGCACTGAGAAACTTATCCATAGCTTATCTGAGGCTTCCTCAATGCAACCATAGGCTTCGTCAGAAGCTTCTGAAGTCAGTTCGGATGTGAGTATATCTGATTTCTTCAAAGAGCTGGATCTCACAAACCTGTCAAGAACATGTCTAGGTTGAATTTCACATCCAAAAAATTAATACATTTAGCATTCAAACCGTTTTTGTACCAATTTATGCACTGATGCATTATTTTCATGTAAATTTAAGGACCATCCCTTAATTCTCATTACCGTAATTCGAGGAAAAAATATCACCGCACTGACACACACACACATATATATATACAATGAGGAAAATAAGTATTTGAACACCCTGCTATTTTGCAAGTTCTCCCACTTAGAAATCATGGAGGGGTCTGAAATTGTCATCGTAGGTACTATTTATTTGTAAGATACAGCTGCAAATAAGTATTTGAACACCTGAGAAAATCAATGTTAATATTTGGTACAGTAGCCTTTGTTTGCAATTACATAGGTCAAACGTTTCCTGTAGTTTTTCAGCAGGTTTGCACACACTGCAGGAGGGATTCTGGCCCACTCCTCCACACAGATCTTCTCTAGATCAGTCAGGTGTCTGGGCTGTCGCTGAGAAACACGGAGTTTGAGCTCGCTCCAAAGATTCTCTATTGGGTTTAGGTCTGGAGACTGGCTAGGCCACGCCAGAACCTTGATATGCTTCTTACAGAGCCACTCCTTGGTTATCCTGACTGTGTCTTTCGGGTCATTGTCATGTTGGAAGACCCAGCCTCGACCCATCTTCAATGCTCTAACTGAGGGAAGGAGGTTGTTCCCCAAAATCAATACATGGCCCCGGTCATCCTCTCCTTAATACAGTGCCATGTGCAGAAAAACACCCCCAAAGCATGATGCTACCACCCCCATGCTTCACAGTAGCGATGGTGTTCTTGGGATGGTACTCATCATTCTTCTTCCTCCAAACACGGCGAGTGGAATTATGACCAAAAAGTTGTATTTTGGTCTCATCTGACCACATGACTTTCTCCCATGACTCCTCTGGATCATCCAAATGGTCATTGGCAAACTTAAGACGGGACTTGACATGTGCTGGTTTAAGCAGGGGAACCTTCCGTGCCATGCATGATTTCAAACCATGACGTCTTAGTGTATTACCAACAGTAACCCTGGAAACGGTGGTCCCAGCTCTTTTCAGGTCATTGACCAGCTCCTCCCGTGTAGTTCTGGGCTGATTTCTCACCTTTCTTAGGATCATTGAGACCCCACGAGGTGAGATCTTGCATGGAGCCCCAGTCCGAGGGAGATTGACAGTCATGTTTAGCTTCTTCCATTATCTAATGATTGCTCCAACAGTGGACCTTTTTTCACCAAGCTGCTTGGCAATTTCCCCGTAGCCCTTTCCAGCCTTGTGGAGGTGTACAATTTTGTCTCTAGTGTCTTTGGACAGCTCTTTGGTCTTGGCCATGTTAGTAGTTGGATTCTTACTGATTGTATGGGGTGGACAGGTGTCTTTATGCAGCTAACGACCTCAAACAGGCGCATCTAATTTAGGATAATAAATGGAGTGGAGGTGGACATTTTAAAGGCAGACTAACAGGTCTTTGAGGGTCAGAATTTTAGCTGATAGACAGGTGTTCAAATACTTATTTGCAGCTGTATCATACAAATAAATAGTTAAAAAAACATACGTTGTGATTTCTGGATATTTTTTTTTAGATTGTCTCTCACAGTGGACATGCACCTACGATGACAATTTCAGACCCCTCCATGATTTCCAAGTGGGAGAACTTGCTAAATAGCAGGGTGTTCAAATACTTATTTTCCTCACTGTGTATATATATATTAGTTTATACTTCATGCTTATTTGTATTAACTTTCATTTATGCTGATTTGAATATAAAATGACAAAAGTAATGTCTCTGTGCAGAAAATATTAACGTCTCAAAATAAAAAAATCTCTATATTTTGTTGTGATATGACCGGGTTATGTTCTTGCCAGGCCTGGCGATGTTCATTCACTCTGAGAGTAAACATGCTTAAGCTACAAACACACGCTTTCTGCTAAACTATCAGGGACCAATCAAAGTCTTCCTCCTTTACGAGACTGAAATCACATGAATGATGTTGTGGGCTTTAAATGACTGGTAGTGATTGACAGGAAATTCACTCCAATGATGAGGGTCTTGGGAGATTTTTTTTTTACACACTAATCTAAAAACAGACACTGTGATTGAATGATTTCCATGGTAACGTGTCTCACACACACACACAGATTGCTATTTTAGCAGTTCAGCTGAATCTGGAACTGACAGTCTGTCTGTGTGTGTGTGTGTGTGTGTGTGATCGAAGGGTTGTAACTTGTGGGTGTGTTTGGTAGCTTTGTGTGTGTGTGCTAACGCATCAGTCGCTCTGCAGTTGTCCCGGGACTGTAAGACTGAGGTCCAGAGGATCGTGTGTGTGTGTGTGTGTAAGACTGAGGTTCAGAGGATCCTGTGCGTGTGTGTGTGTGTGTGTGTGTGAGTGAGAGCATGTGCTAACGCATCAGTCGCTCTGCAGTTGTCCCGGGACTGTAAGACTGAGGTTCAGAGGATCCTGCACCAGAGGGCTCTGGATGTGAAGCTGGACCCGGATCTTCAGCATCGCTGTATGACGGACCTGGGGAAGTGGTGCAGTGAGAAGACTGAATCTGGACAGGTTAAACACACACACACATTTTACTGCACTGATTTCACACTGTAACTCACTTTCACATACAACTTTTTCTTAAAAATGGTCAGTGGTTTTGTTTTTCTGTTCATTTTATGAGGTTTACAGTTTTTGCACCCATTGCTAAAACTTAGGACGTGTAAACATGCATGTCTTGGCTATACACATCTCACTTAAACACACTTTAGGAAATTAACAAATATAATTCATAAGAAAACTACAGCAGAGTGGGAAACAAGGCTCAAATGTGAGACTGCTGTCCCTTTAAGAGCGAACGCACTGATCCACTGCACTGATCCACTGCACTGATCCACTACACTGATCCACTACACTGATCCACTACACTGATCCACTACACTGATCCACTGCACTGATCCACTGCACTGATCCACTGCACTGATCCCCTGCACTGATCCAGTTCATTGATCCACTGCACTGATCCACTGCACTGATCCACTGCACTGATCCACTGCACTGATCCCCTGCACTGATCCACTGCACCCCTGCACTGATCCACTGCACTGATCCACTGCACTGATCCACTGCACTGATCCACTGCACTGATCCCCTGCACTGATCCAGTTCATTGATCCACTGCACTGATCCACTACACTGATCCACTACACTGATCCCCTACACTGATCCACTGCACTGATCCACTGCACTGATCCACTACACTGATCCACTGCACTGATCCACTACACTGATCCACTGCACTGATCCACTGCACTGATCCACTGCACTGATCCACTGCACTGATCCACTACACTGATCCAGTTCACTGATCCACTGCACTGATCCACTGCACTGATCCACTGCACTGATCCACTGCACTGATCCACTACACTGATCCACTACACTGATCCACTGCACTGATCCACTGCACTGATCCACTGCACTGATCCACTGCACTGATCCACTACACTGATCCACTACACTGATCCACTGCACTGATCCACTACACTGATCCACTGCACTGATCCACTACACTGATCCACTACACTGATCCCCTGCACTGATCCACTGCACTGATCCCCTACACTGATCCACTGCACTGATCCACTACACTGATCCACTGCACTGATCCACTACACTGATCCCCTACACTGATCCACTGCACTGATCCCCTACACTGATCCACTGCACTGATCCACTACACTGATCCACTGCACTGATCCACTACACTGATCCCCTACACTGATCCACTGCACTGATCCCCTACACTGATCCACTACACTGATCCCCTACACTGATCCACTACACTGATCCACTTCACTGATCCACTGCACTGATCCCCTACACTGATCCACTACACTGATCCCCTACACTGATCCACTACACTGATCCACTGCACTGATCCCCTACACTGATCCACTACACTGATCCCCTACACTGATCCACTACACTGATCCACTGCACTGATCCCCTGTACTGATCCACTACACTGATCCCCTACACTGATCCCCTGCACTGATCCACTGCACTGATCCACTACACTGATCCACTGCACTGATCCCCTACACTGATCCACTACACTGATCCCCTACACTGATCCACTACACTGATCCACTGCACTGATCCCCTGTACTGATCCACTGCACTGATCCCCTACACTGATCCACTGCACTGATCCACTACACTGATCCACTGCACTGATCCACTACACTGATCCCCTACACTGATCCACTGCACTGATCCCCTACACTGATCCACTACACTGATCCCCTACACTGATCCACTACACTGATCCACTGCACTGATCCACTGCACTGATCCCCTACACTGATCCACTACACTGATCCACTGCACTGATCCCCTACACTGATCCACTGCACTGATCCACTGCACTGATCCACTACACTGATCCACTGCACTGATCCACTGCACTGATCCCCTACACTGATCCACTACACTGATCCACTGCACTGATCCACTGCACTGATCCACTGCACTGATCCCCTACACTGATCCACTACACTGATCCACTGCACTGATCCCCTACACTGATCCACTGCACTGATCCACTGCACTGATCCACTACACTGATCCACTGCACTGATCCCCTGCACTGATCCACTGCACTGATCCACTGCACTGATCCACTACACTGATCCACTACACTGATCCACTGCACTGATCCACTACACTGATCCACTACACTGATCCACTGCACTGATCCACTACACTGATCCACTACACTGATCCACTGCACTGATCCCCTACACTGATCCACTACACTGATCCACTGCACTGATCCACTGCACTGATCCACTGCACTGATCCACTACACTGATCCACTACACTGATCCACTGCACTGATCCACTACACTGATCCACTGCACTGATCCACTACACTGATCCACTGCACTGATCCACTACACTGATCCACTGCACTGATCCACTACACTGATCCACTGCACTGATCCACTACACTGATCCACTACACTGATCCACTACACTGATCCACTACACTGATCCACTGCACTGATCCACTACACTGATCCACTACACTGATCCACTGCACTGATCCACTACACTGATCCACTACACTGATCCACTACACTGATCCACTACACTGATCCACTGCACTGATCCACTACACTGATCCACTGCACTGATCCCCTACACTGATCCACTACACTGATCCACTGCACTGATCCCCTACACTGATCCACTGCACTGATCCCCTACACTGATCCACTGCACTGATCCACTGCACTGATCCACTGCACTGATCCACTGCACTGATCCACTGCACTGATCCACTGCACTGATCCACTGCACTGATCCCCTACACTGATCCACTACACTGATCCACTACACTGATCCACTGCACTGATCCACTACACTGATCCACTGCACTGATCCACTGCACTGATCCACTGCACTGATCCACTGCACTGATCCACTACACTGATCCACTACACTGATCCACTACACTGATCCACTACACTGATCCACTACACTGATCCACTGCACTGATCCCCTACACTGATCCCCTACACTGATCCACTGCACTGATCCACTGCACTGATCCACTGCACTGATCCCCTACACTGATCCACTACACTGATCCACTACACTGATCCACTACACTGATCCACTACACTGATCCACTACACTGATCCCCTACACTGATCCACTACACAGCGCACCCGAGTTCTCTTTCACGTCTTCCTGCGCTTGAATGTTTAAATTATATCTGTGCTAAACTAATGTTTTGGCTCTTGTTAGCCAGTGGCCAGTGAACTGCAGTAGTCGACAGTAATGGAGTTAGGCGTGTTCAGTCGGCTCTTGTGGAATCGCATGCGAGTGATGACTCGGTGTAGAGGGTGCAGTAATGCTCCACAGAGACTCACGGGACACCAGCAGATGCTCTTTATTCACTGATGATGCCATCTGTGGAAACGGCTTGAATGTTAAATTCACAGACATGAACCGTACTCACTGTGTGTGTGTCAGGAATTGGAGTGCCTGCAGGATCACTTGGAGGATCTGATCCCTGAATGCAGGGATGTGGTGGGGAACCTCACAGAACTGGAGTCCGAGGTACAGAAAGATGCTGTTGTCCTGCCGTTTATCTCTGATGTGTGTGTATAGTGTTGCTGTTGCGAGTGAGACGTGTGTTTGCACTGACTTCTGCGCGTCTGCTTTTCCAGGACATTCAGATCGAGGCGCTGTTGATCCGTGCCTGTGAGCCTGTGATCCAGTCCTACTGTCACGTGAGTGTCCGATCGCTACTGATGAAGCAGAGGAAGAAAAAACACATTTCTGGCTTATGTTTTATCGTTTAATCATTTAGATCTTAAATTGGAAATGGGTAAGGACATAATCAAATCAAGAAATAACATTATTAAAAATCAAAACAGTAACAAAATATACTCATTGACTAATTTTGTTATGAAGTACAGTTGTATGTTTGCATAGAATTCAGTTTGAACGCTATATTATATGCTTTTAAAATCTGAGGTAAATTATCCATTATCGCTTGTGGCACAGTGACCTATTTTTAACTAAAAATAAATAATGTGGGCGGATCTGTCAGCCGCGGCGTTGCAGAAATAGGAACCATTTCTAAATTAGAAACTTCGCGTGTCGCCGTTGCGTCTTGTTAGGACAAAAACTCTGATTAACATGGAAAAGATACCTTATCGCGTGTCGCGGCGTCGCGTGTAGTTAGGACACGGTGTCAGAGTGTGAAGACATGACACACAGAGATATGTGTGTGTGTTGTGTGTCTGCTCCGATGCGATACACTTTGAGAAGAGGAACTTGGCTCAGATCCAATAAGCAACTGTATAATAGAGATTAATATCTGGTCAGTCTATCCGTGGACTTTAGTTTAGTTTAATTGTATTTGCACAAATGTTAAATATATACAATAAGAGCAAGAAAATACAATTCAAATACTGTGCAGGGAGAGGCAGAAAACCATTTGTATGTAATATCATGCTAACCATATTTATACAGCTTTTCCAATAAAATGAATTCATTAACTGTATCAAAAGCTTTGACGGATCTATATAAATACTGCCTGTCAATCACGGTTTTCCAGAGCAGGGTAATGACCCCGTCCATCAGTGAAGCAGAGCGATTGACGGAAACACTGATTCTTCTCATCTTGATTCAAATCTCCTATAGTCATCAGTTTATATACAATTTTCTCTAAACTTTTTGATAAACATGGCAGAATAGATATCGGTCTACAGCTGTTAAACATGATCATCCGCTTTAAACAGAGGAATAACCTTTGCTATATAATCTTCTGCCACAATGCCTGGTTTCAAAGAGAGAAACAATGTGAAATATTGAGCATTTTCACCTGTTTGACAACAAACACAGAAATATTATCATGACCCGCTGAAGATATTTTTAATTCATCAATAATTTCACTTATTTCCTGTATCTCAGGAGACTCAAAAATAGAGATAATAGGGAAATGTCCTGATATATAATCCAGGGGTTCGCCAGTTCCTATAGGAACATTACCAGCCAATTTATGACCAACATTAACAAAAAAAATCATTACATTTTTGAGCTACTTCATTTAAAACTCTTCATTTATGTTTCTTTATTTAAATGTATAATCCTGATTATGCATGAATTAATTTTACTCTTCATTTATTATTTGATTGTGCTGTTAAGAAATAAAATTTGACTTAATCGTCTGCCTGGATCTCCTCCATGAGCTCCGTTAGAGAGGAGGATTCTTCTTCATCATCATCATCATCTTCTTCTTCTGTGTCTCGCAGGACGTGGCTGATAACCAGATCGACACCGGGGACCTGATGGAGTGTCTCGTTGCCAATAAACACCAGAAGGAAATGAATGAGAAGTGTGCGGTGGGAGTCACACACTTCCAGCTGGTGCGTCTGCCGATCACACACTCGCTCTCTCTCTCTCCTTATGTTACTACAGCTCTGTCACCTGCCCGTTTCTCCTCCTCATCCTCAGATCCAGATGAAGGACTTCCGCTTCTCCTACAAGTTCAAGATGGCCTGCAAGGAGGACGTGCTCAAACTGTGTCCCAACATCAAGAAGAAGTGAGCACATCGCATGGCGGATGTGTTGGGGAACACTGAAGCATGCTGGGAAGGTCCTGATGCTGTGTGTGTGTGTGTGTGTCCTCAGGGTGGATGTGGTGATCTGTCTGAGTACCACAGTGAGGAACGACACGCTGCAGGAGGTGAAAGAGCAGCGCGTCTCCATGAAGTGCCGGAAGCAGCTGCGCGTGGAGGAGCTGGAGATGGTCAGTGCCGTCGTCACGTCTCCTAGTCCCGTCTCCAGCTAGTCCCGTCCCGTCTCCAGCTAGTCCCGTCCCGTCTCCAGCTAGTCCAGTCCAGTCTCCAGCTAGTCCCGTCCCGTCTCCAGCTAGTCCCGTCCAGTCTCCAGCTAGTCCCGTCCAGTCTCCAGCTAGTCCCGTCCAGTCTCCAGCTAGTCCCGTCCAGTCTCCAGCTAGTCCCGTCCCGTCTCCAGCTAGCCCCGTCCCGTCTCCAGCTAGCCCCGTCCCGTCTCCAGCTAGTCCCGTCCCGTCTCCAGCTAGTCCCGTCCCGTCTCCAGCTAGTCCCGTCCCGTCTCGTCTCCAGCTAGTCCCGTCCCGTCTTGTCTCCAGCTAGTCCCGTCCCGTCTCGTCTCCAGCTAGTCCCGTCCCGTCTCGTCTCCAGCTAGTCCCGTCCCGTCTCGTCTCCAGCTAGTCCCGTCCCGTCTCGTCTCCAGCTAGTCCCGTCCCGTCTCGTCTCCAGCTAGTCCCGTCCCGTCTCGTCTCCAGCTAGTCCCGTCCCGTCTCGTCTCCAGCTAGTCCCGTCCCGTCTCGTCTCCAGCTAGTCCCGTCCCGTCTCCAGCTAGTCCCGTCCAGTCTCCAGCTAGTCCCGTCCAGTCTCCAGCTAGTCGCGTCCAGTCTCCAGCTAGTCGCGTCCAGTCTCCAGCTAGTCGCGTCCAGTCTCCAGCTAGTCGCGTCCAGTCTCCAGCTAGTCGCGTCCAGTCGACCAGCTAGTCGCGTCCCGTCTCCAGCTAGTCCCGTCCCGTCTCCAGCTAGTCCCGTCCCGTCTCCAGCTAGTCCCGTCCCGTCTCCAGCTAGTCCCGTCCCGTCTCCAGCTAGTCCCGTCCCGTCTCCAGCTAGTCCCGTCCCGTCTCCAGCTAGTCCCGTCCCGTCTCCAGCTAGTCCCGTCCCGTCTCCAGCTAGTCCCGTCCAGTCTCCAGCTAGTCCCGTCCAGTCTCCAGCTAGTCCCGTCTCCAGCTAGTCCCGTCCAGTCTCCAGCTAGTCCCGTCCAGTCTCCAGCTAGTCCAGTCTCCAGCTAGTCCCGTCTCGTCTCCAGCTAGTCCCTTCCCGTCTCCAGCTAGTCCCTTCCCGTCTCCAGCTAGTCCCGTCCAGTCCAGTCTCCAGCTAGTCCCGTCCAGTCCAGTCTCCAGCTAGTCCCGTCTAGTCCAGTCTCCAGCTAGTCCCGTCCAGTCCAGTCTCCAGCTAGTCCCGTCCCGTCCAGTCTCCAGCTAGTCCCGTCCCGTCCAGTCTCCAGCTAGTCCCGTCCCGTCCAGTCTCCAGCTAGTCCCGTCTCCAGCTAGTCCCGTCCAGTCTCCAGCTAGTCCCGTCCAGTCTCCAGCTAGTCCCGTCCAGTCTCCAGCTAGTCCCGTCCAGTCTCCAGCTAGTCCCGTCTCGTCTCCAGCTAGTCCCTTCCCGTCTCCAGCTAGTCCCTTCCCGTCTCCAGCTAGTCCCGTCCAGTCCAGTCTCCAGCTAGTCCCGTCCAGTCCAGTCTCCAGCTAGTCCCGTCTAGTCCAGTCTCCAGCTAGTCCCGTCCAGTCCAGTCTCCAGCTAGTCCCGTCCCGTCCAGTCTCCAGCTAGTCCCGTCCCGTCCAGTCTCCAGCTAGTCCCGTCCCGTCCAGTCTCCAGCTAGTCCCGTCCCGTCCAGTCTCCAGCTAGTCCCGTCCCGTCCAGTCTCCAGCTAGTCCCGTCCCGTCCAGTCTCCAGCTAGTCCCGTCCCGTCTCCAGCTAGTCCCGTCCCGTCTCCAGCTAGTCCCATCCCGTCTCCAGCTAGTCCCGTCCAGTCTCCAGCTAGTCCCGTCCAGTCTCCAGCTAGTCCAGTCCAGTCTCCAGCTAGTCCCTCCCCGTCTCCAGCTAGTCCCTTCCCGTCTCCAGCTAGTCCCTTCCCGTCTCCAGCTAGTCCCTTCCCGTCTCCAGCTATTCCCGTCCAGTCTCCAGCTAGTCCCGTCCCGTCTCGTCTCCAGCTAGTCCCGTCCCGTCTCCAGCTACCCGTCTCCAGCTAGTCCCGTCCCGTCTCCAGCTAGTCCCGTCCCGTCTCCAGCTAGTCCCGTCCCGTCTCCAGCTAGTCCCGTCTCCAGCTACCCGTCTCCAGCTAGTCCCGTCTCCAGCTAGTCCAGTCCAGTCTCCAGCTAGTCCCGTCCAGTCCAGTCTCCAGCTAGTCCCGTCCAGTCCAGTCTCCAGCTAGTCTCGTCCAGTCCAGTCTCCAGCTAGTCCCGTCCAGTCCAGTCTCCAGCTAGTCCCGTCCCGTCCCGTCTCCAGCTAGTCCCGTCCCGTCTCCAGCTAGTCCCGTCCCGTCTCCAGCTAGTCCCGTCCCGTCTCCAGCTAGTCCAGTCCCGTCTCCCGCTAGTCCAGTCCCATCTCCCGCTAGTCCAGTCCAGTCTCCAGCTAGTCCAGTCCCGTCTCCAGCTAGTCCAGTCCCGTCTCCCGCTAGTCCAGTCCAGTCTCCAGCTAGTCCAGTCCCGTCTCCAGCTATTCCAGTCGTCTTCATTTACACAGCGTTGTTAGCAATGGACATCGTTCCAAAGCGGCTTTACAGAGATTATAGGAAATCAAAGTAACAGAGTTTGTTTTGGCTTTATCTGGACAATAACTTTATCCTAGAGCTGCTGTAAAGTCGCAACGATCATTAGTTATTAACTCGGGCCGCCCACATGACACCGTTCTAACAGAAAACTCTTAAGTTCTCTCTACGCAAACTTTAAAATCTCGAACCTGTGAGAACACTGATGGCGTGCACATGCGTATTAAATGGTTAGTTCACCCAAAAATGAAAATGATGTCATTAATGACTCTCCCTCATGTCGTCCCAAGCCCGTAAAACCTCCGTTCATCTTCGGTACACAGTTTAAGATATTTTAGATTTAGTCCGAGAGCTTTCTGTCCCTCCATTGTAAATGTATGTACGGTATACTGTCCTTGTCCAGAAAGGAAATAAAGACATCATCAAAGTAGTCCATGTGACATCAGTGGGTTAGTTAGAATGTTTTGAAGCATGTTTTTCATTTTTGGGTGAACTAACCATTTAAGAGTTCATTCTATAGGTATGGGTGTTTGAATATATATGCGCAGGCGTGTAGTCCTTCCCTAAAAAAATACTAGAGCCCTGTGATTGCGGCGACGCGGAATCCAGTCATAAAAACAATTTACTGTATAATTTGGAAATTCATAGAATTTGTAAATTTTGACAAAAACATTCTCCAGTCACTTTATTAGAGGCTTACCGGCCGATATGAGCCTGTCGCAGATATAGCAATGTCGGCGTATATGACGCATATGTGCCGCCGATGTGATTTTTTTTTTTTTTTACAGAACATATAACGCGGATCAATGCTTGTAAGTAGTGTAACTGCGTAGTTTGTCCAGCAGAGCGCGCTCCATTGTTTGCTAATGCGACCCAGGTCACTGTAGAGACACAGCCAGCCCTTCACTCAGTCATGAGGTCTTCAGACACGTGAGATGCGCACACATTAGCTTCCGCTACACTGACAAGCTGTGAAACATGGCTAGCTAGCTAACCTAGCAAACGAGTATAAGCTCGTTGTGAGTAAAAGACGGGGACACATATTTTATTTACTTGATAGCGTCTCACCAGGTGATAACGTAGCGTTAAAGCAACATCCAACAGACTCATGCCTCCGCTGGCACATATTGAGCCGCTCACCGCTGAGACCGCTTGACCGCTGCAGCGGGACACGACACCGCACGCGCGACACCGCACACGCGACACCGCACGCGAGCGCCATGCCACAAACGACAGCCGAACCCATTATATCAGTGATGTCCACACTGGAGGCGGAGCGAGCGCCAAATCGAATTTTTACATTTTTTGACAAAAACACTCTCAGAAAGCTCTTCACGGCAACCTGTCAAAATAAAAGTTCGTTTTAACTTCAAGAAATTATGACAGAATTATATTTCTGTTGTACAGTAAAGTTTAGCTACGTCTCAAAGTAATAATAATATTAGCACTAATAATAGTTTATTATTATTAAAACATTATTTTGTAAGGAATAATCACAATTTTGTGACACAACTTTGACAAAAAAAGTTTAATTTCATGATTAAAAGATAAATTAAATTAATGTTTTATGCCTGATTGCCAGGAAAAATTTAAATGCACAACACAGAAAAAAAAACATTTCATAGAAATGAAATGAAGAGAAAAGGACAGAAATTTAAACAGAAAACACAGAATTTGGAAAAATAGAGCCCTAAACGTAATTTGTTAAACTTTTAATAAATTGTTGTTAAATTGTTTGTTTCATGAATTAATTTAATTAGATATGCATTTTGATTACTAAACAGAAAATTGAATTAGTGAAAAAATAAAACTCATTTCATAGGGCCCTATAAAACACATTTGAACAGATATAATGGTGTGAAGTGTGCGGTCAGAGCTCTGATGTGTGTGTGTGTGTGTGTGTGTGTGTGTCAGTCGGAGGACATTCGTCTGGAGCCGGATCTGTACGAGAGCTGTCGTCAGGACATCAAGCAGCACTGCCAGAACGTGGTGTTCGGGAACGCTCAGGTAAACCTTCATCTTCTTCATCATCATCACTATACCTGCAACCACATACTCATATGTGTGTTTGTGTGTGTGTGTGTGTGTGTGTGTGTGGTCAGGTGATCGAGTGTCTGAAGGAGAGCAAGAAGCACCTGACCCAGCAGTGCCATCAGAAGGTGTTCCGGCTGCAGGAGACCGAGATGATGGACCCTGAGCTCGACTTCCAGCTCATGAGGGTCTGCAAGCAGATGATCCGGGTGACCAGCCTCTTCCTCACTGCACAACACTACACAACACTACACAACCTCATCCTCACAGCACTACACAACCTCACAGCCTCTTCCTCACTGCACAACACAACACAACACAACACAACACAACACAACACAACACAACACAAACTCATCCTCACAGCAACACAAACTCATCCTCACAACAACACAAACTCATCCTCAGCACAACACAAACTCATCCTCAGCACAACACAAACTCATCCTCAGCACAACACAAACTCATCCTCAGCACAACACAAACTCATCCTCAGCACAACACATCGCAGATACAGTTCCAGGCCAGCAAAATGTAGAACAGTCTGAACAGCCGAAATCGTGATGTGGCCTAATACGCATTCAAACAATCTAAACATTTAGGATATGGTATTTATCAGTTTTTTAATGAATATAACTATAGTCACTTTTAATTTAAATTGATTTAAAGGCTGAAATGTTTGGTAAAAAAAAGATTAACTTAAGTTTAAATTGTTATTTACAGTCATTTTATGGTTTACATGTTACTATAGATCTTTCTCTACCCAACTCATAACGGTTTCTGCAGCGTTATTGAATAAAATGTATAAGACATTACAATTGAATGATGGCTTGTAATTGTTTGAAATTGTTAACTGTGTTGTGTGTCCTTCAGCGTTTCTGCAGCGAGACTGATGCGAAGAACATGTTACAGTGTCTGAAACAAAACAAGAACAGCGAGACCATGGACCCTAAATGCAAACAGATGATCACGAAGAGACAGATCACCCAGAACACAGGTACACACACACACACACACACACACACACACACACACACAGGAGAGCGTTTCTTCAATCACTCGCGGATCTGGCGAATCCCCCAGCACACACACACAATACTCTAGAAGACTCAGGAGCGATGCTGCCCCCTGCTGTGCTGGAGTCACACTGCTGCATTATTCACCAGAGTATAGTGTGTGTGTGTGTGTGTGCTAGGGGTGTAACGGCACACACACACTATACTCTAGAAGACTCAGGAGCGATGCTGCCCCCTGCTGTGCTGGAGTCACACTGCTGCATTATTCACCAGAGTATAGTGTGTGTGAGCTGGGGGTGTAACGGCACACACACACGACTGTTCATTCGGTACGCACCTCGGGATTGAAGTCACGGCTCGTACAGCGGGGGGAACTAAACACAAAATGCCTCTGTTTTTTAATTAAACAGGTTTTTTTTTTTACGTGTACGTGTTTATATAAATTATAATATAATTTTCTTAAGGATAAAATCTATCTTAGCTAATGCTGTAAACTATATGGAGAGCCCTTAATTACACATTACGATATTAAAGGTTGAAATTAACAACAGAGCCCAAATTATTAAATTTAGTTGCTATTTATTTTTAGATATAATCAACACTCAAAAACAAAAAACATATTGTAAATTGCACAAGGCAGAGTTTGCATTAACTTCTAAATCTAATTACAAAGTTAATTTCCTACTCCAGTTCATTTTTGAAATATCATTCACACACTGGCTGTAATAAATAAATTTGTCATGAGAACAAGTTAAACATGCATTAAATAATCAAGACATTACTAACAGGTTAAGTAAATCTAATGAATATGCTAATATAGTCCGAGCTGCATTCAGCGCGAGGCTCACACACTTCACACACACTCTCGCCACACTAACACACCGCAAGTTGGCTAGACATTTTTTTATTTTATAATATATTTAGTATTAGTATAAATTAGTATTTTGCTAAATATGTGCATTACTTTTTTTTTTTTTACTTCTCATTAAAATATTATAAAGTTGTAATAACCTCATTAAGCCTATATTTAATTTGAGTTGTTGTTTTTAACCGTTAATGATTCCAGCAGACAGGGCTCTGTGTGTCTACAGCATTAGCTGAGATTATCCTTCTTGAGAAACATTATCATGCATCTACTGTACCTTATAATATGTATCCTAACTGAATCAAGATTGGAATAAAACCACAAGAATTAAATTGAAATTGTAAAATTTGTATCAAGCAATAACAAAATCAGTAGCCTATACCAATCAGTGCCCCATGCTGTCACTAAACTTGATACAATTGTGTAGTTAGGCTAGCAAATGTTTTGACCATCACAATAGACGAATCCGGCGAAACTACCGGAACTAAGCGGGCGCCATTACTGAGCTGTTGCTGGGTAGCGTTGCGCCATTGCCTCCTATTGTTTTAGTTGCAACTTGCGTCCACTGGAATAAACAGCCCGCGAGTTACGACTGTCACTAACGTTACAACTTTTATAATGTCGAGTGGGAAAACATGTTCCGGTTTAAATGGTTTCAGTGGCGGCAGTAAAGGGCGCATCGGGGCAGTGACGTTAGTAACATTACTGTTAGGTCTGTTGTTAATGTTTGATTTGCTTGACTGTGACAGAATTTTTTTTAAATAACAAATTAAATTAAATATAATGCAGTTTTTGTTATTATAACAATTATTTAATAACATAAGTAAAAAATATAATAAATATGTAATATAGTGCTCAGCAAAATCTCCTCTCTAGCTATTTTTTTCTATTCAATTAACATGCTATGGTCATTAAATGGCTTTCCTGAGCTAAATGTAACGTTATAATTGTTCTCCTGCTGTTATATTGACCTCTTTCCATGGTTTAAAAACACTATGGTCGATATTATGTAGACTTTCTAGCTGTACCTTACCCTTGCCTTTTGCAATGTGAAAATGAGATCAGTAATGGACACAAATGAAAAACATGAATTCGTTTATTTGATGTCATTCATTCATTTATTGTTGCCAAATGGACAGATCTTTTTATAGTTTCCTCGTTAGCTAACGTTAGCCTAGCTAGCTTGCCAAGCTATTTTCATAAATAATCTGTAAGATCGTTTGTACCTTCATCTGTGACTGGAGGCCACTGTACATCAACCCAACAAGTCATTAGGCTGGCTGTAGCTGTCATCGAGGGTGCGTTATCACCACAGTCTATGGTTATCACGGAGGTTTGTTTACATACGGTAACAGCTCAGTAATGGCGTCGCCACAAGATGGCAGTCTACACAGAACGCTCGTCGGATTCGTGTAGAGCATACATTTTTATTTGTGATTGCGTGTTTAAAAAAAAAAAAAAAAAGTATTACCCCCCACACACACACACACACACACACACAGACATGGTTGAGTTTGACAGAGATGGGATGAAACTGTAATGTATGTTCATTATTATTTTTCCCACCATGCTTTAGAACGGGTTGAAATCGTCATCTTTGAGTGTCGCAATTTGAATTTGTGTCATTATTGGTGTAAAGTGCACTGAGACGTCAGTGTGTGTCCGTGTCCGATGCTCTCCGTAACGTGTCTCTGCTGCTGTAGACTATCGCCTGAACCCAGTGCTGAGGAAGGCCTGTAAAGCGGACATCCCCAAGTTCTGCCAGAACATCCTCAACAAGGCCAAAGACGACAACGAGCTGGAGGGCCAGGTCATCTCCTGCCTCAAGCTCAAATACGCAGACCAGGTGTGTGTGTGTGTGTGTGTGTGTGTGTGTGTGTGACACCAGTGTTAGTGGAACTAGTTACTGAGCAATTAGATACTGTAGCTTCATTACTTTTCCCTCGAAAAGTAAAGTCAGGGATTACTCTGAATTGTTCTGTAGTTTGAGTGAGTTCTGCTGTAATAGAGCTAATGCTGTGTGTCGATCTCACGGCGATGCGTTTACTGAATCATACGAGCTCACACACACTCGCACGAGTTAGCCGTCGTGTGAAATGCTGAGAATTGTTCTAGTTTACACAGTCCGATCTCAATTTAACACAATAGTGGGTTTAACATCAAAATGTGTTGTCTGATGTTGTGTTTATGACCTTTGCAGTGATTGGTCAGTTTCAGCGTAATTCATGCAGTTTTAGAGTATCCATTTGAAAGAATTAAAACATTTCATGTCTATCCTTGTATTATTCAGCTGGTTGAGATTGGATTTAGGAAGTAATTAGTAACTAGTAATCAATTACCTTTTTATAGTAACTTACCCAACACTGAGCAGGACTCATATAAGTGTGTGTGTGTGTGTGTGTGCAGCGTCTCTCTCCGGACTGTGAGGGTCAGATCAGTGTGATTCTGCAGGAGTCAGCGCTCGACTACAGGCTCGACCCACAGCTGCAGCTCCAGTGCAGTGAGGAGGTGAACACACACACACACACACACACACCTGACACCCACAGCTGCAGCTCCAGTGCAGTGAGGAGGTGAACACACACACACACACCTGACACCCACAGCTGCAGCTCCAGTGCAGTGAGGAGGTGAACACACACACACACACACACCTGACACCCACAGCTGCAGCTCCAGTGCAGTGAGGAGGTGAACACACACACACACACACACCTGACACCCACAGCTGCAGCTCCAGTGCAGTGAGGAGGTGAACACACACACACACACCTGACACCCACAGCTGCAGCTCCAGTGCAGTGAGGAGGTGAACACACACACACACACACAGCTGCAGCTCCAGTGCAGTGAGGAGGTGAACACACACACACACACACACACACCTGACACCCACAGCTGCAGCTCCAGTGCAGTGAGGAGGTGAACACACACACACACACACACACCTGACACCCACAGCTGCAGCTCCAGTGCAGTGAGGAGGTGAACACACACACACACACACACACACACACACACACCTGACACCCACAGCTGCAGCTCCAGTGCAGTGAGGAGGTGAACACACACACACACACACACCTGACACCCACAGCTGCAGCTCCAGTGCAGTGAGGAGGTGAACACACACACACACACACACCTGACACCCACAGCTGCAGCTCCAGTGCAGTGAGGAGGTGAACACACACACACACACACACACACACACCTGACACCCACAGCTGCAGCTCCAGTGCAGTGAGGAGGTGAACACACACACACACACACACACACACACCTGACACCCACAGCTGCAGCTCCAGTGCAGTGAGGAGGTGAACACACACACACACCTTACACACACACCTGACACACACAGCTGCAGCTCCAGTGCAGTGAGGAGGTGAAACACACACACACACACACACACACACACACACCTGACACCCACAGCTGCAGCTCCAGTGCAGTGAGGAGGTGAACACACACACACACACACACCTGACACCCACAGCTGCAGCTCCAGTGCAGTGAGGAGGTGAACACACACACCTTACACACACACACACACCTGACACCCACAGCTGCAGCTCCAGTGCAGTGAGGAGGTGAACACACACACACACACACACACACACACACACCTGACACCCACAGCTGCAGCTCCAGTGCAGTGAGGAGGTGAACACACACACCTTACACACACACACACACCTGACACCCACAGCTGCAGCTCCAGTGCAGTGAGGAGGTGAACACACATACACACACACACACACACACACACACACACACACACACACACCTGACACCCACAGCTGCAGCTCAAGTGCAGTGAGGAGGTGAACACTCACACACACACACACACACACACCTTACACACACCTGACACCCACAGCTGCAGCTCCAGTGCAGTGAGGAGGTGAACACACACACACACACACACCTGACACCCACAGCTGCAGCTCCAGTGCAGTGAGGAGGTGAACACACACACACCTTACACACACACCTGACACCCACAGCTGCAGCTCCAGTGCAGTGAGGAGGTGAACACACACACACACACACACACCTGACACCCACAGCTGCAGCTCCAGTGCAGTGAGGAGGTGAACACACACACACACACACACCTTACACACACCTGACACCCACAGCTGCAGCTCCAGTGCAGTGAGGAGGTGAACACACGCACACACCTTACACACACACCTGACACCCACAGCTGCAGCTCCAGTGCAGTGAGGAGGTGAACACACACACACACACACCTGACACCCACAGCTGCAGCTCCATTGCAGTGAGGAGGTGAACACACACACCTTACACACACACACACACACACACCTGACACCCACAGCTGCAGCTCCAGTGCAGTGAGGAGGTGAACACACATACACACACACATACACACACACACACACACACACACACACACACACACCTGACACCCACAGCTGCAGCTCAAGTGCAGTGAGGAGGTGAACACACACCTTACACACACACACCTGACACCCACAGCTGCAGCTCCAGTGCAGTGAGGAGGTGAACACACACACACACACACACACACCTTACACACACACCTGACAGCCACAGCTGCAGCTCCAGTGCAGTGAGGAGGTGAACACACACACACACACACACACACACACACACACACCTGACACCCACAGCTGCAGCTCCAGTGCAGTGAGGAGGTGAACACACACACACACACACACACACCTTACACACACCTGACACCCACAGCTGCAGCTCCAGTGCAGTGAGGAGGTGAACACACACACACACACACACACACACACCTTACACCCACAGCTGCAGCTCCAGTGCAGTGAGGAGGTGAACACACACACACACACACACCTGACACCCACAGCTGCAGCTCCAGTGCAGTGAGGAGGTGAACACACACACACACACCTTACACCCACAGCTGCAGCTCCAGTGCAGTGAGGAGGTGAACACACACACACACACACACACCTTACACCCACAGCTGCAGCTCCAGTGCAGTGAGGAGGTGAACACACACACACACACACACCTGACACCCACAGCTGCAGCTCCAGTGCAGTGAGGAGGTGAACACACACACACACACACCTTACACACACCTGACACCCACAGCTGCAGCTCCAGTGCAGTGAGGAGGTGAACACACACACACACCTTACACACACACCTGACACCCACAGCTGCAGCTCCAGTGCAGTGAGGAGGTGAACACACACACACACACACACACACACACCTGACACCCACAGCTGCAGCTCCAGTGCAGTGAGGAGGTGAACACACACACACACACACACACCTGACACCCACAGCTGCAGCTCCAGTGCAGTGAGGAGGTGAACACACACCTTACACACCTTACACACCTTACACACACACACACACACACACACACACACACACACACACACACACACACACACACACACACACCTTACACACACAGCTCCAGTGAGGAGGTGAACACACACCTTACACACCTTAACCTGACCTACACACACGTGCTCTGCTCCTGATTCACTCGTGTGTGTGTGTGTGTGTGTGTGTGTGTGTGTGTGTGTGTGCAGATCCCGCGGCTCTGTGCGGAGGAGGTGGCGGCGCAGGAGCAGACGGGTCAGGTGGAGGAGTGTTTAAAGTATAACCTGCTGAAGATCAACCACGAGGGCTGTAAGAAGGTTCGGCTGCTCCACTTTCAGTCTTCACTAGCGGTTTCCATCCGCAGATGTGACTTACAGGTGCAGTGTGTGATGTTTAGCGGCATCTAGCGGTGAATCGCACCCAGCAGAAGTTACGGTGGCCGACAGGAAGTGATGTCATCGTCTGAGACAGCAGAGAGTAGCCAGTTCAGCAATGAGGATTCTTTACGAAGATTAAGAAATTAGCTTTACTTAATTATACAGTAAAACGATGTTATTGCGAATATTATTGTGAGTTGTTCATCATTGTGTCAGTGTTTTACTCGCTGACTTTAGCAGCTTCTTTACACGCAGAACAACACAGTGATGAAACGCGTTTGTCCGCTCAGGGCCACCGTAGAAACATGTCGATGTAAGTGGACCCGCGGTGTGTGTGTGTGTAGAGAGATGGCTCATTCTAAGCTAATCTTTACACACCACTGAAAACATAGTTATGTGTATGATATTGCATTTCTGTCCGGAGATCCTCCTATATATTACACACTGCACCTTTAACTTGCGTGCAAAGTTGGAAATGTTGCATTATATGTGTGAAAAAGCCCCGCGTTCAATAGAACAAAATTGCCTCTTCCTGGGATATTGGTGCAGAATATCAGTAATGACTGTAAGTTTCTGCAATCGGCTGTTCTCCCTCCATAAACGAGTGTGTGTCGAGCGCCAGGCGAAACACAGTAAACGCTGTCGTGTTCTCTGGCGTCCGCATGCTGGTGTTCGGGAACACACTCGTGTGTGTGTTTTTTTAATTTTTTTATGTGGTAAATGTGTGTATGCGCATGTCATCTTATCAGATCCGCCTCAATTGAGCACATACTTTTTTAATGCACATTTTAGTGTTTATGCACATCCAGTGTTATCCACCTAATGAGATGGTGTGTGTGTGTGTGTGTGTGACGCTGCAGGAGGTGCTGAACATCCTGAAGGAGAGCAAGGCTGATATCTTCGTGGATCCGGTTCTTCACACAGCCTGTGCGCTGGACATTAAGCACCAGTGTGCTGCGATCCCGCCGGGACGAGGACGACGTGAGTCATGCTGGCAGGGATCGGGCGCTGAGTGAAGTGTGTAGATGCTAATCCCTGCGTGTGTGTGTGTGTGCAGAGATGTCCTGTCTGATGGAGGCGCTGCAGGACAAGCGTGTGAGACTCCAGCCCGAGTGCAAGAAGAGGCTACAGGACCGCATCGACATGTGGAGTTACGCTGCGAAGGTGAGCTATCACACACACACACACACACACACACACACACACTGCACCCGAGTGCAGTTTGAGCAGTCCCCCCCACACACACACACACACACACACACACACACACACACACACACACACACACACACACACTGCACCCGAGTGCAGTTTGAGCAGTTTCCCCCACACACACACACACTGTTGTTGCTCTTGTCCCCCACACACACACACTGTTGTTGCTCTTGTCCCCCACACACACACACTGTTGTTGCTCTTGTCCCCCACACACACACACTGTTGTTGCTCTTGTCCCCCACACACACACACTGTTGTTGCTCTTGTCCTCCACACACACACACACACTGTTGTTGCTCTTGTCCTCCACACACACACACACACTGTTGTTGCTCTTGTCCTCCACACACACACACACACTGTTGTTGCTCTTGTCCCCCACACACACACACACTGTTGTTGCTCTTGTCCTCCACACACACACACACACACACTGTTGTTGCTCTTGTCCTCCACACACACACACACACACTGTTGTTGCTCTTGTCCTCCACACACACACACACACACACACACACTGTTGTTGCTCTTGTCCTCCACACACACACACACTGTTGTTGCTCTTGTCCTCCACACACACACACACTGTTGTTGCTCTTGTCCCCCACACACACACACACTGTTGTTGCTCTTGTCCTCCACACACACACACACTGTTGTTGCTCTTGTCCTCCACACACACACACACTGTTGTTGCTCTTGTCCTCCACACACACACACACACTGTTGTTGCTCTTGTCCTCCACACACACACACACACTGTTGTTGCTCTCCTCCTCCACACACACACACACACTGTTGTTGCTCTCCTCCTCCACAGGTGGCTCCAGCAGAAGGCTTCTCTGACCTGGCGGGTCAGGTGTTCACGTCTCCAGCTAAGGGCTACATCCTGAGCATGCTCGCGGTGTGTGTGTTGCTGCTGTTCCTCATGGGTCTGCTGTGCGGCCGCATCACCAAGCGTGTGACGCAGGAGCTGAAGGACAGGTAGAGGGATCCGCCCATGGCCCAGACACACACTCGTCCCCGTCCCGGGCCGGGGGAGGACACTGGGTGACGGGGGGCCAGACTCGTGCTGTGTGTGTGTGTGTGTATGTGTGTGTGTGTGCATTTACACGGTGCCACCGTGGGGACCCAGTTTGAATCGCTCCACACACTCTCTTCCCCTCCTGTGCGTGTCCCCCTCGTCTCCTGCTTCCCCGAGCGCTTCCACCGGACGTCCCGACTCCACCGCTTCATCAGCCGACACCAGAGACTTGCTGTCGCTCTCCAGCCGAACTGTTTATTTATTGTTGATGTTTTGGATGCGCAGGAGGTCCCGCTCTTGATGTCCTTTGCTCCGCAGGGCGCCTCCGTGTCTTAGGAAACAGCCAGTTACTGAAGATGTGCATATTGACAAAGATGGAGCGATCGAATGAATGCGTGTTTGTGCCTTTGCCCGTCCGAGTGAGAGAGCTTGTTTCGTGTGTGTGTGTGTGTGTGTGTGTGTGTGTGTGTGTGACAGGCACTGATGTTTTTTGGTTTTATCATGGGCTTCTTGTTTCTTTTTCTTCATGTTGCGGAGACGTTATTTCCCCCATCTCGTCTTGGCAGCCGGGGCTTTAAATATGTGCTTGTTCTGTCATGTGTTTGGTTTATTTCATTAGGGGAGGGTTTGTGTGTCCCGAAGGGTTCACACACACCAGAGGACCGGTCTGAACTGAGCCACCAGATGTAGAACATGGATGTTCTGGACTGTGTTTATATCATGCCGGCTGTGGTACGAGCCGCTCCATTCATGTTTCCATTGACATAAAACATCCATACGAAGAGTTGTGTGTCGATCAAAGTCACGGTTCACCGCTTCACACACACACACACACATCTGTGGATTACTCTCTGATGCCCGGCTCGTGTCAGTGGGTTTGCAGACACGTCTCGCCCGGTTTTGGGGGAACTGTTGGTTTTAAACACACTGTTTCTCATACAAATTTTTGAAATGAGCTTTCTTGACAGTCGGTCCATCTCTTCTGTGGTTTGGAAACATGTAACGCTCAGTGCCGTCCATCATCGCCTCAGCTTCAGCGTACTGGCTCTCCATTCACAGCCATTGGTTTTTGTTCGGTTTCTTTTGTAATGCAGTTTTTTTCTCATGTACTGAAACTAAACACCAGTTATTGACTGGATTCACAGCTTCGAAACTCTTTTCCCTGAATCACTGAAGGCTTTAATGCATAAACCCCCATATTTGTTCCCCAGTGACACTAAATTTCACTCTTTGGAGTGACATCATACTATTAAAACCGCAATAGAGCCGTAACCCTTACAGTCCCTGTGCATCTCTGCCTTTTAAATTAATTTGGCTTTTGTATTATTGTTATATTTGTATGCTTTTGTACAAAATGACATTAAAGTGGACTTTGGTTCTAGTGTTTGTGCATTAATGATCTGAATTCATGTCATGATGCTGTGCTGTAAATAGCTTTATGATTTCACTGGAGGATTGTGGGTCTCACAAACTCTGCCTTAACTTTAGCATTTCTTCTTTTCTTTGCAGAAGACTTGCTCAGCCATCGGTTGCTCCTAAAATCAAGGACAGGAAAGGATACGTTCTTATTCAGTAACAAAAATAGCCACTTTTACTCAAACCGCATCAAATGGCTTGTGCTTAGTATGTTTCTGCATGGATTTTCTCAAAATAATTTCTAGGCCATACATTGAATGTATCCACATTGGCAAAGTTGGTTAAATCAAAAGATGTTGCGCTCCATGTCTTTCTAGCTTCACGTGCTTTTCATACTCCTGCTTCCCAACGCTTCAGTTTATGACTGTGATCTGGGTCGATCAAACATGCGGAAACCGAATCCTTTACGCTTTCATTCTTCTCCCATTTACCGGTTCAGTTGTGTTCAGTTTTGTCCACTAGCCGCATGGAAACCAGGTCCTTCATCTCCTCAGCCTGTAAATCAAGTTGTTTTTAATTGGTTTATATTGATACAAATTACTTAAACTGCTGTTTGTGTATTAGTAGTACCATATTCATTCAGACCATTGTCCGTTTGGACTCGACATTAGAAATAAACAGGTACTTTTGCTTATTTTTAATTTATAAATGCGTGTCTGGTTCATATTTCACCCTGAAATAAAAACTAAGCCATTTTTTGAGCATTTAACCAATAATAGTAATACTAATTTAGCTTAATTTTGATCGCCTTGATCAGATACTTAAAAAAAAAAAAAAAAGATTTGCTTAATTTTGATTTAAAAATGTGTTCAAGTATCTGCCCAAGCCGATCTCAGTGTCATAATCCTTTGAGAACGTGACCTGCAAGTAGTTTGTATCAATTATAAGGTGGTTTTCTGTCTTATGGCTGTCGGCGCTGGGTGCAGTTTTTTTTTCTTGACGTGTTTTTACATTATTTTTGAACGAGTTATTACTGGAAAACGTGCGAGTGTTTCATCTGCTCACTCCCCTCATTCACAACCAATGCTTTCTGTCTGTCAAGCTGATATATGACATAGAAATGATAAATGCCGGACTGTTTTTGTATTTCCTTTCCGTGCACAAATTTATGATGAAAGTGTTTCTCAATCAAATCAAGCCGTGTACTGTACAGATATAACACAATAACTGCGCTTTTCTTTTGCCATTTTTCATGTTTTGTTCTGTACAAGTCGAATTGGACCGTTGTTAATAAAATTGATCTGATGGTTTGTATCTGCTGTATTTTGTCCTGTTTAAACTTGAAAATAACCAGTGGGAATTGTGATTGGGTGTTGGTGTGTGCGAGTGTCTTTATATGTCCTCCTCACACAGTAAAGGTCAGGCGTGTCGAGACGGCGTCGGGATCTTCTCGTGTGGCCGAACGACACTGAGGTGCGACATTCCCTTCAACCAGTTTCTCAACCTAGACTTTGTACGACAAACATTTCACTTCTCTGTTGGTGCTTCAGTGGAGCCGCATCTGCTGGCGTGAGATAAACATGAGTACTTGTGGAGGGAATTATTTTGATTTATTCTTTCAAAGGAACCAGTGTGCTCCTGAAACTATTTTTGCCAGCAAAGTTTCTGGTTCATTCTTTAGAAGAGTCATTTTTTTTATGGATCTATTAATTTATTCAACTTTAAACCCTCGGTCATGAACAATTTCTGAATTAAAAAGGAACGAATGGCTTAAAGGGTTAGTTCACCCGAAAACATTTCATTTTCGGGACACATATGAAGAGATTTCTGAGAGATTTGTCCCTCCATTGACAGCTATGCAACTACCAATTTGACGCTTCAAAAAGTTCATAAAGAGATCGTAAAACTAATCCATATACATTTAGCAATATAGACCAAATATTCTGAAGAGATTCGGTCGCTTTATATGAACAGATTGATTTTAGGCTTTTATTCACATAAAAATTGATCAACTCACGCATCAGTTGTGGTAAATGAAAGCTCAAACATGTTCGCTTGTCAAGCAAGAGCCAATGATGTTCATTCTCGTGTAACGCAGCACGTTTGAGCTTCTGCAAGAGCCAATGAGGTTCATTCTCGTGTAACGCAGCACGTTTGAGCTTCTGCAAGAGCCAATGAGGTTCATTCTCGTGTTACGCATCACGTTTGAGTTTCAGCAAGAGCCAATGAGGTTCATTCTCGTGTTACGCATCACGTTTGAGCTTCTGCAAGAGCCAATGAGGTTCATTCTCGTGTTACGCAGCACGTTTGAGCTTCAGCAAGAGCCAATGAGGTTCATTCTCGTGTTACGCATCACGTTTGAGCTTCTGCAAGAGCCAATGAGGTTCATTCTCGTGTAACGCAGCACGTTTGAGCTTCTGCAAGAGCCAATGAGGTTCATTCTCGTGTTACGCATCACGTTTGAGTTTCAGCAAGAGCCAATGAGGTTCATTCTCGTGTTACGCATCACGTTTGAGCTTCTGCAAGAGCCAATGAGGTTCATTCTCGTGTTACGCAGCACGTTTGAGCTTCAGCAAGAGCCAATGAGGTTCATTCTCGTGTTACGCATCACGTTTGAGTTTCAGCAAGAGCCAATGAGGTTCATTCTCGTGTTACGCATCACGTTTGATCTTCAGCAAGAGCCAATGAGGTTCATTCTCGTGTTACGCAGCACGTTTGAGCTTCAGCAAGAGCCAATGAGGTTCATTCTCGTGTTACGCAGCACGTTTGAGCTTCTGCAAGAGCCAATGAGGTTCATTCTCGTGTAACGCAGCACGTTTGAGCTTCTGCAAGAGCCAATGAGGTTCATTCTCGTGTTACGCATCACGTTTGAGCTTCTGCAAGAGCCAATGAGGTTCATTCTCGTGTAACGCAGCACGTTTGAGCTTCTGCAAGAGCCAATGAGGTTCATTCTCGTGTTACGCATCACGTTTGAGTTTCAGCAAGAGCCAATGAGGTTCATTCTCGTGTTACGCATCACGTTTGAGCTTCTGCAAGAGCCAATGAGGTTCATTCTCGTGTTACGCAGCACGTTTGAGCTTCAGCAAGAGCCAATGAGGTTCATTCTCGTGTTACGCAGCACGTTTGAGCTTCTGCAAGAGCCAATGAGGTTCATTCTCGTGTAACGCAGCACGTTTGAGCTTCTGCAAGAGCCAATGAGGTTCATTCTCGTGTTACGCATCACGTTTGAGCTTCTGCAAGAGCCAATGAGGTTCATTCTCGTGTTACGCAGCACGTTTGAGCTTCTGCAAGAGCCAATGAGGTTCATTCTCGTGTAACGCAGCACGTTTGAGCTTCAGCAAGAGCCAATGAGGTTCATTCTCGTGTTACGCAGCACGTTTGAGCTTCTGCAAGAGCCAATGAGGTTCATTCTTGTGTTACGCAGCACGTTTGAGCTTCTGCAAGAGCCAATGAGGTTCATTCTCGTGTTACGCATCACGTTTGAGCTTCTGCAAGAGCCAATGAGGTTCATTCTCGTGTTACGCAGCACGTTTGAGCTTCTGCAAGAGCCAATGAGGTTCATTCTCGTGTAACGCAGCACGTTTGAGCTTCAGCAAGAGCCAATGAGGTTCATTCTCGTGTAACGCAGCACGTTTGAGCTTCAGCAAGAACCAATGAGGTTCATTCTCGTGTTACGCAGCACGTTTGAGCTTCTGCAAGAGCCAATGAGGTTCATTCTCGTGTTACGCATCACGTTTGAGCTTCTGCAAGAGCCAATGAGGTTCATTCTCGTGTTACGCATCACGTTTGAGCTTCTGCAAGAGCCAATGAGGTTCATTCTCGTGTTACGCAGCACGTTTGAGCTTCTGCAAGAGCCAATGAGGTTCATTCTCGTGTAACGCAGCACGTTTGAGCTTCAGCAAGAGCCAATGAGGTTCATTCTCGTGTAACGCAGCACGTTTGAGCTTCAGCAAGAACCAATGAGGTTCATTCTCGTGTTACGCAGCACGTTTGAGCTTCTGCAAGAGCCAATGAGGTTCATTCTCGTGTTACGCATCACGTTTGAGCTTCTGCAAGAGCCAATGAGGTTCATTCTCGTGTAACGCAGCACGTTTGAGCTTCAGCAAGAACCAATGAGGTTCATTCTCGTGTTACGCAGCACGTTTGAGCTTCTGCAAGAGCCAATGAGGTTCATTCTCGTGTTACGCATCACGTTTGAGCTTCTGCAAGAGCCAATGAGGTTCATTCTCGTGTTACGCAGCACGTTTGAGCTTCTGCAAGAACGTGCTGCGTAACACGAGAATGAACCTCATTGGCTCTTGCAGAAGCTCAAACGTGCTGCGTTACACGAGAATGAACCTCATTGGCTCTTGCAGAAGCTCAAACGTGATGCGTAACACGAGAATGAACCTCATTGGCTCTTGCAGAAGCTCAAACGTGATGCGTAACACGAGAATGAACCTCATTGGCTCTTGCAGAAGCTCAAACGTGCTGCGTAACACGAGAATGAACCTCATTGGCTCTTGCAGAAGCTCAAACGTGCTGCGTAACACGAGAATGAACCTCATTGGCTCTTGCAGATCGTAAAACTAATCCATATACATTTAGCAATATAGACCAAATATTCTGAAGAGATTCGGTCGCTTTATATGAACAGATTGATTTTAGGCTTTTATTCACATAAAAATTGATCAACTCACGCATCAGTTGTGGTAAATGAAAGCTCAAACATGTTCGCTTGTCAAGCAAGAGCCAATGATGTTCATTCTCGTGTAACGCAGCACGTTTGAGTTTCAGCAAGAGCCAATGAGGTTCATTCTCGTGTTACGCATCACGTTTGAGCTTCTGCAAGAGCCAATGAGGTTCATTCTCGTGTTACGCATCACGTTTGAGCTTCTGCAAGAGCCAATGAGGTTCATTCTCGTGTAACGCAGCACGTTTGAGCTTCTGCAAGAGCCAATGAGGTTCATTCTCGTGTTACGCATCACGTTTGAGTTTCAGCAAGAGCCAATGAGGTTCATTCTCGTGTTACGCATCACGTTTGAGCTTCTGCAAGAGCCAATGAGGTTCATTCTCGTGTTACGCAGCACGTTTGAGCTTCAGCAAGAGCCAATGAGGTTCATTCTCGTGTTACGCATCACGTTTGAGTTTCAGCAAGAGCCAATGAGGTTCATTCTCGTGTTACGCATCACGTTTGAGCTTCTGCAAGAGCCAATGAGGTTCATTCTCGTGTTACGCATCACGTTTGATCTTCTGCAAGAGCCAATGAGGTTCATTCTCGTGTAACGCAGCACGTTTGAGCTTCTGCAAGAGCCAATGAGGTTCATTCTCGTGTTACGCAGCACGTTTGAGCTTCTGCAAGAGCCAATGAGGTTCATTCTCGTGTAACGCAGCACGTTTGAGCTTCAGCAAGAACCAATGAGGTTCATTCTCGTGTTACGCAGCACGTTTGAGCTTCTGCAAGAGCCAATGAGGTTCATTCTCGTGTTACGCAGCACGTTTGAGCTTCAGCAAGAGCCAATGAGGTTCATTCTC